ATGAAGTATGTTTCCTTTAGTGTATAATCACATGAAAATAAGAACTGTTGTGTTTTTGCTACCTTAGAATGAGCCATTTATATCGGCATAGGGAGCAGGTCCTCGCGGAGATCACATGTTGCACCACCATGTTTCTACAGTAGCCTAGAACAGACAATCTGATCACTGGCTCTAGGGACATTTGCATTTTTGCGTACATAGTAAGAAGCCAAACTGCAATAAGCAGCACCAGAGGTACACTGATTTGTAACATGAAACTGCTTTATTCAGTGTTTCTACCATTTTAAATCAACTGGTCTGTTTGAGAAGAGACCCCCAGAGATAATTAAGCTCCTGGTAGAAACCTCCTGAACAATGAAAACTGAAGAAATTCTAACCAGGAGAAGTTTCAGCTAGTTGCAAGATCCCACCAAATCCCCCTAAATCTTACACACTTCACCTTTAAATCCCTCCAAAAATGACCAAACTGGCACCTCAGAGGTGCAGTGTGTAGGATTTAGTGGCATCCAGTGGTGATGCCATTAAATCTATGTGTGCAGGAGAATTATGGTGGCCCATGTGAAATCGTGCCCTAAATAGAGCCAGTGTTTGGTATGTTTGTTCTGAGTTACTGTAGAACAACATAGTGGACTAAATGGAAAAGGACCCGCTCCCTATGTAGATACAAAGGGCTCATTCTAAGGTGATGCTAACACTACGATTTTTTAGTTTCAGGTGATTATAAATGAATTAAAACATGGCTATGTATATTATATTCAGTTTCTGCAAATAGATGCCCCTAAATTCAACACACTGGACCTTAAAGTTCGGTCATGTCCACGCTCCAAGTCCTGTCATGTATACAGAAGACTGTATCAGCCACCTGTGTGTCAGTGCTTGTGGTAATTTGATAAAAAAAAACAAACCTTAAAATGTGTTAATGTGCAGCACATAAGCCAGTGTAATCTGACATAATTTAGGAGTTATTAGTAGAAGTGAGGCCACTCTACAAGGATAGAATTAACTCATAATGGAGGACTCCTCTTAGTTGTTGTTGTTGTACTTGATTGGTGCAAATAAGCATTTGTCATATCAACAAAACAAATGTGGATGCAGGTGAATATTTGTAGGCAGTAAATGCCCCATGCCTTTTGTCTGTGTGTGTAGACAAGGTGGTGTTTCTAGATGATGATAACAAGCTTTTCAAATTCAGTACTTTCTTTTGCTATATAATGTAACTTTAACAGAAAAAAAGTTGTTCATCTAAACATTAGCCATGAGGAATCATCTGTCTGCAGCTGGCTGAGGAAAGAAATCCAGATAAAATCTGTTGGATGTTTTCTAAAATATAAAATCAGTCTGTAGTTGGAGATGAAACTTCTTAAGTCGTCAGTGTTGTCTTTAAAAAGCTTCTCCCGGCTCTGGTTTTATTGTGTTTCCTGTCCTAGTTCAGTCCCACAGTATAAAATCAGTTATTGATTACCACCTATCAGCCGATAGGCTCACCTGTATGGGCTCAGCAGCCCGTCATGTTCCTTCCTGTCACTGATTGGTGATTGATTTGAGTTGAGTATGATAGTTATTTTTATAAGCTCAGCAAAGCCAACCTTTTTCTATGTACATATAAAGTTGTATTTTTTTAACTGTACCCGAATGCTTCACCGTGATGACGACAATGATGATGATGATGATATTGATGATGGCTGTCTGCTTTGGTAATCTGAAATATAAACACTTGTTTTTTTTTAACTTCTCAGTTGTATTTTTGATGCTTTCACACAGCGACACCTGAAGTTTGCATGAGGCGTTTAGGTGCTGAGCTGGCTGCTACAATCACACCTGAAACTATTTCATTTGAAAGCTTAAAATGGACTAAAATTGCACTGTTCTGCTGATGAAAATTGAGCTATGTCTACTTCAGTGTAACAGTGTGGCTCACTGATGTGTTTTTAAATTTTTAACATCAACAACTATTATATTCAGTATGATTCAGTGTATGATATACAGATATCATAGACATAGATGGCTTTATAGAGCAGCTACGAAGTCTTTTTCTTCAGGCCACCTTTGCATTTTTACACAGAACCAAACAACAGCGGCATCATGCTGCTCCAGTGTGTGATTTTAGACAGCATGCCAGCATCATCAAAGCAATAGAAGCGTGACGGACCTGACATGTAACACAACAGCATCAGCCTCATGTGTGACATATAACATACACATCTGCAGCCTTTTATAAACAATATCAAGGTGTGAGTTACTTATTTGGCTTGTCCGCTTGAAAACTTTTTATTTGTATTATTTTATTTTTCAGAAAATGTTTTTTGCCATTAAAAGTAACATAACAAAAGTGAAGACATTGCCAATAGAATACATTTAACAAAAATATTTTCAAGAAGTAAAAAAAATCTGCAAGCAGCTGGCTTATTTAAGTGTCAACAAGTGTTTTGTTCAAAGACAAACTTGTTCGAATTTCCATTTTCTTAAACTTAACTTTGACCTTGTAGGCAAAAATAAATAAAATAAATAAAGATTGGTTCCATAGTCAAGAATAAACTTTAATCATTCATTTATTTTTTTTACTTACAAACACAGCAAATTAATGTTTGCTTCTGACAGATTCTGATTAATGCATTTACCTTGAATCAGACATAAACCAAGAAAAAATCTCCATGTTTCCATAATGTCACTTAAAGAAATGTGACTACAGAGATTATAATCACAGTTTATAATCTGATAAATTAGGATATTTACCTTTAAAAATTGTATCTCCAGAGCCTTCGGTTAGAGCCTTCTTTGTTAGTGGATGGAGCTCGTGTCGTCGTCACTAAGAAACTTCTATCCTCTATATTCAGTATTAAGATAAAACTACTAATCCCACATCAGGGAAATCTCATGTTACAGCAGCTCAAGGGTCAGGAGGAAAATACAAAAAGCAAAAGCAACTGATTGCCCGAAAGGATGTAAATGTCACAAAAACAAAAATGAGATAAAATAATATAAAATCTATCTGCACTTTTCACCACACACTGAACATCCATGATTGATATTTGCACAGGATAACTGTAATACACATGGTGTGTAGTAAATTTACTGTAAATATACACATATATAGCCTTCAAATATTATTGCACAGTAAGTGGTAAAATATTGCACAGTGGGAAATTGCACAGGCTTGTATCATACTGCATATATATATATATATATATATAGAGAGAGAGAGAGAGAGAGAGAATATGGATAGGTACATATATACACTGCTCAAAAAAAAAGGAGGGAAACACTTAACGGTCAAAGTCTAACACCAAGTCAGTTAAACTTCAGGGATATCAATCTGTCCATTTAGGAAGCACACGTGATTGTGAATCAGTTTCAGCTGCTTTGGTTCAAATCAAAGTAACAACAGGTGCAATAGAGACGCAAAAGCAAGACAACCCCCAAAAAGGGAATGGTTTTACATGTAGGGGCCACAGACAGTTGCTCTCTGCTTCTTCTTCCTGACTGATTCTTCTCTAGTTTGGTGTTCTGCTTGTGTCCTTGCCACTACTTATAGCATGAGGCGGTACCTGTACACCAATCAGGTTGCACAGGTAGTCCAGCTCATCCAGGATGGCAAATCCATGGGTGCAGTCTTGGGAAGGTTTGCTGTGTCTCCCAGCACAGTCTCAAGAAGAGCATGGAGGAGATACCAGGAGACCGGCTGTTACATGAGGAGAGCTGGACAGGGCCATAGAAGGGCATCAACCCAGCAGCAGGACCGGTATCTGCTCATTTGTATGAGGGGGAACAGGAGGAGCACTGTCAGAGCCCTATAAAATGACCTCCAGCAGATACTGGTGTGCATGTTTCTGACCAAATTGTCAGAAACAGACTCCATGAGAGTGGCATGAGAGCCTGATGTCCTCTACTGGAACCTGTGCTCACAGCCCAGCACCGTGCAGCTCGATTGACATTCGCCAGAGAACACCAGAATCAGCAGGTCCGCCACTGGCACCCTGTTGTCTTCACAGATGAGAGCAGGTTCACACTGAGCACATGTGACAGACACGAAAGAGACTGGAGACGCTGTGGTTAACGTTACGCTGCCTGTGACATCATCCAGCATGACCTTTTTGGTGGTGGGTCAGTGGTGGTCTGGGGAGGCATATACTAGGAGGGCCGCACAGACCTCCATGTCATAGCCAACGGTACCCTGACTGCTGAAGCAGCCAGAGCTACAGGCTACAGTGAGGCTTAAAACAGAGTTCATATGATGTTTTTCGAAACAACTTTTTATGTCGGGGCTTCAGGACACTTGGATCACTACGGATGAGCAGTATGGAGATACTTTGTGGATTCAATTTTGTGTTCTTGGATGTTAGTCTGGGGCGCCGTCAGCCATTAGGTGTGCTAGCCGCTCCCCCCGCCGATATCCGTAAGGGATGTGAGGACTCTAAAACTTCACCAGGGCCTCCGTCAGCATGAGGGTGAGTAGATAATGGCTGAATTTTCATTTTTGGGTGCACTATCCCTTTAAAGTACCAAATGTAAAAGTACTAATTTTGCAGAATAATATATAGGCTATTATATTATTGATTATGATGCAGAATATTTAATTTCAGAATAATATATATTGTATTATAACTATTGATGCATTAAGGTGTTCTCCACTTTAATGTTACAGCTGGTAAAGATGGAACTCATTTAATGACTTTATGTACTGCTGGGTAGATTGTGAATTCCCCTTGGGGATTTAAAAAAGTGTTGATATAAAAGCATAATTTATTTTAAAAAATAAAATGTAAAAATCAAAGTAAAAAACTAATTAAAAATTAATTTATTGATTATATTTTGTATTAGCAGTCTGTAAAGTTACTAAAATCCAATAAATAAATAAATTTAGTCCCATAAAAAGTACAATATTTCGCTCTGACATGTAGTGGAGTGAAAGTATGAAGCAGCTAAAAATATCTATATTCCAATATAGTACCTCACAATTGTACTTAAGTGCTTTTTGCGTCTGTAATAGCTGAGTATCTCACGCTGTTACTGACGGTAAAGTCGTGAGATTTTGTCATTTAAATGAATAAATAAGGATTAATTTGTGGTATTTAACTACAGCTCCCATGAGGCGTTCACAGGCGGCCACTGGTTTTTGGGATATTCCCGCCCAGCTCGTGGATTATCGCTGATCAATGCTGATTGACGTGCCCACCGTTCAATCAGAGGCGGCAGAGAGGCGCGCGGCCAACCCTGAGTGGTGGGGGGCGGGGCCGCAAAGGGAGGGGGCAGGGCGCGAGGTATCATGGAGGATCAGTAGGCAAACTGTGGCCATCAGAGGAAAGCAGCTACCGCTCTGATCCCAGGGAGTTTCTCAACTGTCCATAGCCCGTTATCCTAATCAGCGCACACCGGATACTTCAACATGGACATGAAGAAGAGGATCAACCTGGAGCTGCGGAACCGGAGCCCGGCGGAGGTGAGCCGCTTTTATTTTAATAACATTTTAATTGTTGCCTGAAATAGCCCGGGAGGTGATGTGCGACCAGAGCCTGGTTGCTCCCCCCTCGCTATATCACATGGAGGTTACCGAAAACACTACGACCGAAGAAAGTTTCGGATCATTCGATCCGTTAAACGTGTTATCGATCCGGTTATAGTTTGATCGACTACCGGCTGAGAGCCCTGATGGATGTGGAAGCATCTCAGCGGCTCCGTCCGCCCGCCCCCTCCTCCTCTCCGGTGAAATCCCGACTCTCAGGGTGGCTCCACGGACAAGAATTACACCGTCAAACTGCTTCAGCTTCGGTTTTTACCGGTAAACGTTTAGCAGCCCAAACACTTCTCCGTTAAACTGTGTATCGTCTAAAACACCTTCACGCACTAATGTCGTGGAAGTTTCACCTTTTTAATCAGTCACCGGCCGCCCAGAGGACTCAAACGGATAAAACGACACGACTATAAATAAACCTTAACATGCCGGTGGTTGTTTGTTATCAGCACGGTTATTTACCGGGGTGATTTCGGAGCTCGCGGCGGGATTTCGTCCCGGAAAAACAACAACGACATCGGTGCTGGTGCTTTGTCGTTCTCTGAAGAGCGGACATTTTAAGTCGCCAGCGGCTTAAACTTCGACGGAAACCCCCAATCTCCCGCCGTTATTAGGAACTTATCTCCGTTAAATTGAACTCAAACGTACATTTTACGTCTATTTTGAGGTTTTGGTCGACATTTCCCGTGCGACCGTGGTCGGTGGCGGACGCGGGGCGCACTGAGGTCGGTCACAGAGACATTTTGAGTGGGAGAGCTCGTGCTCGGCAGTAACGCGTTACCGACTTACCGTTACAGAAAGCGGATTAGCGGCTGTTTCGACAGGGAATTGTGTTTATACAAATCGACGAATGTTTACATAACACGGCAGTTTAAAGGAAGCGAGAAAAGGCGTGGTACACTACGATCTGTTACCGTACCGCGTTGACTGTATAACGGGCAGTGTCGGTGTTTGGAGAACAGCGTCGTAACCAATCAAAATGGCGTTACTCAACGAGGCTTTTAAGTACAAGAGATTACTGCCCTGATGGATTACTGATGTCGATTCTGTTAAACTAAACATAACCGACCATTGATGGTTAGTGTGATGTCATATCTATTAAATACAAATTTATTATAAAACACTTTTATTCGGATTGTCCCGTTTTATAAAGCAGTCAGTGCTCTGTGTGTGTATGTGTGTGAATAAGTTACATAACCGGACTGCCAACCGATCAGCTTCAGTTAAATAACACACACACACACACACACACACACACACACACACACACACACACACACACACTTGTGCTCGTGGTTCAGAGTTAATTCACTTCAGACTGAGAAATACAAACTCAACTTGCTGGTGTCATGTTTTATGAATTGGGGGGATGCCTGCAGATGGTGTATGTGTTGTGGAGGCTCAGCAGACAACCCCCACCACGCGCACACGATAAATGTAGATTATAGTAGGTTAACCCCCCTCCACACACACAGTGCACAGTGTAATGGTGGTGTCTTCATTGATGTCTATTGGCCTGCAGGCTGAAGCTCTGCTCTGTTCCACTGAAACACTTAAGAGTCTCTGCTCGTTACATAAGCAGAAGAACCAGAGAGGAAAGGCAGCCGCCAGTCTGAACAAAGTCCTCCATGAGCTGGGAGCTCATACTGACACACTCTTAGTACCTGTACCCTCAAGATTTTAATTATTCTGCGAAGCAAAAGCAATATCACAATATTTATCCTACATCAGGGGTGTCAAACTCATTTTAGTTCATGGGCCACATACAGCCTAGTTTGATCTCCAGTAGGCTGGACCAGGAAAACCATTGCACAAAACCTGTAAATAATGACACCTCCAATTATTTCCTTTTTCTTTTAGTGTAAAGAGGTACAAGTATATTCTGAAAACTGTCAATCATTTACAAAACAGGTGATGAGCAGCCTTAGAGAAAAAATGCAATATCAATATGGTTTTCTGCAATCAGTCAATCTACTTCTTGCTGTCATTACATGTGCATTTTTTACATACATGTCCACTCCTGTGTAGTAATGCTGACATCACCACAACAAACTAAGGTGGCAGCTATTAAGGAAGCAGGTTAAGTTATCCCTGCTTTACAAACCGTTTACATTTCAAAGGTTTTGGTAGAGACTTTGTAGTATGGGTTCCAATAATATTGTTTTGAGATAGAAGTCTGATACAGAGTCTTTCTGATACAGATTCCTATGTAGCCTACTGAAGCTGCTTATTGAAAACATTCCGCACAGTGTTATTTCAGAGAGTAGGAGCACCCCTGAAGCAGCATTTTACATGAAGTAGGCCACTTGGTGTTTAACTTGCTCCTAAAACTTGGCACCTCTTAGCCTATACAAATGCATCAATATTAGGTGCATTAAGTCATCCACTGAGCCACATTGGAGCCTTTGGTGGGCCAGTTTTGAGCGTACGTTTGACACCACTGTTCTAAAGTGTTTTTTAGATGTCTGAGTCATTGATTCTCCAATGTAGGCTAGTTGGTGGGGTTTTTTCTCGCAGGTCATTTCTTTATTGAGCTGTAGCATGGTTCTGGCTCCTGATTATTTGTCTGATATGTTGGTCAAATACGGTCTCTCAAGATCCCTAAGATCCTCTACCTCTGGTCTATTAAATGTCCCCCAGAGTAGAACTAAAAAGTACGGTGATGCTGCGTTCTGTGTCATTTGCCGTCGTCTCTGGAACAGCTTTCCAGAGGATGCCAGACTCAGATTGAGGAGACAGCTTTTCTTTTTAGACTTGCATTTACATAACTTTTATTTAATTAATTGGTATCAAACCTAAATTATATTTTTTATGTTTGTATGTATGTGTCTGTGTGAGTGTGTTGTGTATTTGAATCTTATTTACTCTGTCTTATCTTGTCTTTTATGTGTATTTTCCCATTGTTATTTTAATAATAACCACAATGATAATAATAATTATTATTATTGTTATTATGAAATGCACATTTTAATTTGAAATTACCAATGAAAACTAAAAAAAAAAAAAAAAGATAATAATAACAATAATTCACTTTGCTTTGCTTACGGACAGCCAGTCAGCTGCGTAAACGTGGAAATATAGTGCCCACTGCCCACCCTTAAGTCCGCACTGGTCAGCTAGTCTTGGTGGTTCTTTAAAGAAGAAGAAATATTTTATTAACCCCTGAGGGGAAATTCATCCCTTTTCTTCACTCTGTTGTCATATACACACTGGCCCGAAATACACACACCTGAACAAACAGGACCTGTACATACATTAAATGAAGAAATGTCAGAGTGAGGGGGCTGCCCATGGACAGACGCCTGAGACGTTGGGGGTTTAGTGCCTTGTTCAAGGGCTCCATATTTGGTCCACACAGTGACTTGAATTGACGAACCTCTGGTTCCCAAGCCAAGGGTTATGAGTTACTGCCACCAGGGTGGGAGCTAGCTAGTGGTGCCGCTCATTCTCGATTACTGATGGTAACGCCATCCTGGTGGCAGGACAGCTTTGCTGTGGATACATGGTGGCCAACCCGCAGTCTCCAGATAGTGGTATTTGAGAGTTTGAAAAGTCTGATAGTGATACATCAGTTGATTGTAATTTTTAATCCCTCAAACAATCTTTGATGTTTTACTTTAAGAATTGTGATTAAGATGCATACTGATGTATCTGCAATAATAGCAAACAATATATGGAGCAGAGGCAGGATGGTGATTGTGTTCCATCTGTCAATCAAAGGCAGTGTCCCAAAACATCCTAATATTTAAGGCTTAACATCACTTCAATGAGACCTCTGTACAAACAAGTGCCCAGGGTGCAGAGTTCAGTCCACAATTCCCTTAATAATGTATTATTACCTCTAGCTCCTGATTGGCTGAGGAGCACTCCTTCATTAGAACAGACCAGTAGTATCATACTGAGCACAGGAGCCTTCCCTGGGTAGTTTGATTTCTGATCTCAGAGCCAGTTGTGTGGACTCTGTGTAGAACCGAGTAATAAGTTCTTGAGTTGTTTCCTTTGGTGTGACTCCTTGAAGATAGAGTGAGACACCTATCTCTCATATTACATCGTTCATGTTATGAGTTCCGTCTGTAGAATAAGTTCAGCGATCTGCTGCTGAGAGCTGAACTTGGTGTGTAAAAAAATACCATTCACTTCAATGAAGGCTGCAGCTAACACTTATTCCAGTTAGCGATTTATTCACTGTTACACTCTTGATGAATCAGTAATGTTTTGTCTATAAAATTGTAATAAATCTACTTTATAAACGCTCAACTGACACTTTATTGTGTCTTGAGTTTGGTATGGTGCAGTCCTATATACTGCAGTAATAAAGACCATGTCTGTGTGTATGTCTGTGTGTCAGATAGCAGAGCTGGTGGTTGATAACAGTCGCTCTGCAGATGGGGAGGTTGAAGGTCTGACGGACGCGTTCACAGAGCTCGAGTTCCTCAGTATGGTCAATGTGGGTCTAAGCTCGCTGGCTAAACTGCCCTCACTGCCCAAACTACGCAAGGTAACACACACACACACAGAGACATGACACACATGTTGACATCATTCAGTGTTACTGACACTTCCTGAGCCTGGTGTCCATCCAGAATAAACATCCACAAATCTACTAAAATATCACAGACAAAAGAAGGTGCATGGGTTCCCTGAGATGTTTTGAAGTTTTCTTCAGTGTCACAGTGATCCAGTAATAGTAATTAGGTTGAAATCCTGAGAGCAGAGCTTATCTTCTTCCAGGTGCTGTTTATAAGTGTGTAGGCCTATCGACTGTGGGACAGATGTAAAGCTCTGGGTAGCCCTGCACTAAAAGCATCAACTTTTCTGTATTTATCAGACTGAATATTTACAGAAGAAGGGAAAGATATCTGTCCACTGTGATTGGTTTGTAACGTGACTCCTGTCTGACTGCTGAGCGTGGTCTCTTCCTGTGTCTGTCCTTTCAAATTAAATTCCCACATGGTCCAGTCATATATGATTTGATTTATTTTGACACGGCGCAGCTTTCATGTTGTTTTTTTTCCCCGCAACTAAGCAACCAATGAAGTCTTGCCAGCTAATGACCTTTCTGGTCAACCAACATTTGGTCGACTATTCGGGGGCAGCTTTACTAAAATACAAGGAAAGTATTTTATAATAATAATAATAGTAGCAATGGCTTGATATTTTATAGCATTTTCAAGGGACTGAAGTATGCTTTACTTACATGTAGGCAGAACAGTAACACACAAACAAAACATAGTGGTAGCAGTGTTTGCCAGAGATAACGGGATTAACTGAGTCCATGACAGGAGGAGCAAAACGTTCACAGCAACACACTGTGGCTGTGATTATTACACATAATGATGTATATAATGATCTGGATGCCTCATATAGTAACAGTCTGGCATCTGGCACACCTGTAATCTGCTAAAATCTGGAAAATGGAAGTGCTTCTATCTGCTGGCAGCTAATCATACATTTACGATCCCAGATCTTAGAATGGAAACAGTCCCAACAGCTGCAGGAAAAACCTCACCTCCTCAGATATCTGTAAGTGTGTAGATTAGGTAGGTTAGCTGTTTTTCCTGTGGTGATAAACCTTGTGTGTGTGTGTGTGTGTGTGTGTGTGTGTGTGTGTGTGGTCAGTTGGAGCTGAGTGACAACAATCTGTCTGGTTCTCTGGAGACTCTGTCGGAGAAATGTCCCAACCTGACCTACCTCAACCTGAGCGGGAACAAGATCAAAGAACTGAGCAATGTGGAGGCACTGGTCAGAGAACACATGCACACACATGCACACACCCATATGCATGCATATGCCTTCGTTTTCTGTCTGTACATTATTTTATGTAGCAAAAAAAGATTTTTAATGAGTTTTTCCTTTTTCTTTCAGAGTTTTATTTATTTTTTTATAGTTTTAAAAACAAACTCTTTTCTTGTTAACTTTTTACTTTTGAAAAGTGCTATACATACAGAAATAAAGGATATTAATGAATAATACAGTTAAGATCAAAACTACAGAGCCCTTAATGTCTGAAAGGGGATATTTTTATCATGCCTCCGCACTGGCGATAGGCGGGGCTGTAGGCATTATGTTTTCAGGTAGTCTGTACGTCTGTCCCATGTCCCATTCTTTTGAACACAATATCTCAAGAACACCTTGAGGGAATTTCTTCAGATATGGCACAAACGTTCACTTGGATTGAAGAATAAACTGATTATAATATTGTGGTCAGATGTCAAGGTCAAATATGTTTTTGGTCATAACTCAAGTATTCATATGCTAATTGTGACTAAACTTCACACTACTGTCTAATATGATAGCATGATGAAGTGATAACATTTTAAATCCAAAAGGTCAAAGGTCTGCTTCACTGTGACATCATAATCTTCTGCTTAAGACACTTTCTGTCCATTACTCAACGTCATATCTCAGGAACAGAAGGGGACACATTTGGTCAGATACTGAATTGGTGACACTAATCCTTGTGCTGATTGTATAGATCTTCTGTGTGTGAAGTATTCATGTTGTCATAGACATGTATGTAAACTGAGAGAGAAACGGAAAAACTTGACTGGTTCACAGAGACATATAACCGCAGGGCAGTAATTCTAGTTTATGTATCATGATGTAACATCAGCCGTCTTGGACCAAACAGGGGCTTGAAACAGATCTTTGATCTATTTGGAGACCTTTATAACAAAGAAAATAATAAAAACGTACAGTTAGACACAACATAATGTGTGTTTTTTAATCTGGTGGAAGGATTTTTAAGTTAAAGTTGAAACAACAAAGATATGATTGGTTACGATGATGGCTTATTAACTCCTTGATCATAATAGAATATCGTAACTATCACCACTGCTCATTTTAGAAAGGACACCACAAGAAAACATGTTCTTTGAGTGTGCTCGAGGACCGTCTTTATCATATTATACTCAAGAAAAAACAGGTGCTCTTGAAGAAAAGGGTCAGCACATCGGAAGAAAAAAGGAACTTCAGGCACTCGTGCGTTGAGCAGGAACAGATGCATTTGAATTAAGTTAAAAAGTCTTTATTTCAAATACATGGCTGCTTACATTAAAACACCGACCGATTTTGCCTCATTGGTCTTCGTCAGGGTGCAAAAGCGTGGACAGCAGTCATGCAAACATTTTATAAGCTTGGTAGGGGGTGTCACCCAGTCTTGATTAACAAGAGAGCACAGGTGGTTGACAGCAATGGATTATAATGAGAAGCCATTTTGAAAGTGACACGCATTCATAAGTGTAAAAAATCAACCCTGAGGAGTGATTAGCATAGTGGATAGTGCCAGCGCCTCATGTACGAAGGCAGGTGCACTGGATTCATTTCAGAAGTGGGGGGGCCAAAAAGTGCTGTGCGTCTGGGGCTTGTCACCGTGTGGGTGTGGCTACCTGTGTAATGTCCAGTTAATAATAGGGACTAGTTAAAAGTGCGTAGTGATCAGGGATTGAAGTACAGCCTGAGTTGAGTGTGAGCTTGCGCAACAGCAGCAACAGTGTGTTTTAGTGAAAGCAGCAGTATCTTGCAGCAAGTTACACGCTTGTCCTCTCTCATTAAAAAGATGGTGAAGAAAGACAAAGAGTCAGTCATTTAATCACAAACTTTATCTTGGGAGGAAAAAATCAAAGTTTATTTCATAACAGTGTTTGCGTGAAATCTGAACACTTTGAACCTTGTAGGGATAGGGCTGTACCCAAATATTCGGATATTTGTTTCTATGGGTAAGTATTCATTATGAAAATGTGGTATTTGATATTCTTTTTTTTTTTTTTTTTTAACATATTTTTATATTGCTATTTTTTCGTTATCTTTTGAATTTAATATGAATTATGGAACCGTTTTTGTCAACGTTTGTTTCCCCCATTTTGTAGGGGGTTTCTGGAGTGCTGACACAAGTGTGTTTTGAAAACGACCACGGACTGTCACCTGCTCAATGCAGTGACAGTAATAGCCTAATGATTATAATAATAATAATAATGATGTCAAACTATCATTTACAGACCGATTGAACAGACGATCACTGCTGCCCGACCCGCAGGTCCATTTGCGGGTCCCACGGGTTACGGGTCGACCCGCACATCACTACTCAGCTCAGTCTGTCAGGCTGTACACAACACTAAGGCTATAGACATTATATTCTATTCAGGCCGGCAGAACCAGCAGCGCATCGGCTCTACAGTGCACGGCACTGCTGATTAACCATTTTATTGCAGCACAGAGTGTCTGCCAGCAACCAATTAGCCTACTTGCAGAGGCTTCCTACAACTTGTTTCAACGGTTCCGATTTAATCAGAAGACAAATTGAACAGGATGACTAGCCAATGTGAAAATTAAAAGAAAGCATAGAATAATGTACTGAAGGAGACTGTTGTGCCATCACATTTTTTTGTGGTTTGAGAGCAAAGATCCGGTCGCCGCTGTGCAAAACTCCACAATACAATTCTCAAACCGCCTCAAGAACTGCCTGCTCTCGCTCTGCAGCTACGCGGAGTCCCTCCTGATCAAAACGCCGCTCCACCTCTGAGCACAGCAGGTCCAGGGCCTCTGTAGTCTATGTTGTCAGGCTGGCTGGTTATCACATCAAAAGCATAGATCTATGCATTCATGATATGAAAGAGATAAATGTAAGTCAGACAAACTGAGTTTAAATTCAGTTCACTTTATTTTTTGTTTGTATACTATGGAGCCGCTATTTTTTATAACTGGGGAGTTCTTACAATACGGTGCCAGGGATAGTGGGGATTACTGCTAGGTGCTGTTGGATAGAGCCAGACGGCTGAGAGTCTACCCGGAGCCTGCCAGGGATGCTCGAGGCTTTACTGGGCTGGTGAGGCAGTAACAGGCAGGAAGGAGTCCGTGCGCACAATTGAGTGCCTGCTGGAGGCTGTATCTTTCTCTCTATGGCCCCTCTCTGTATTTTACCTAAGGTATGAGTGGAAGTGAAGAGTGAAAGTCTTTTTTACCGTAAGTAATGTAATATAGGGACCTGCAGGCAGGTAAAAGTGCTTCGCAGGTTCGACTCTGACTTGCAACCCTTTGCTGCATGTCATTCCCCCGCTCTCTCTCTATCCCCATTTCACGCTGTCCTGTCCACTAAAGGCAAAAAAGCCCAAAAAAATAAACTTAAAAAAACAACAACAATCCTGTACTAAAATGAAAAATACTACTAACCAAATATAAGAATATGAGAAATATGCATGTAAAAAAGGAAAATTAAAGGGAAGGAAAGATTACTTAATTCATATCCCCAAACCCTAACTAAGGTGTAATGTTTTTGTCCTATGATGTTCAGTGATCTAAAAAAACAACACAAAAAACAAACAAAAAATATATGTACAGTACAGGCCAAAAGTTTGGACACACCTTCTCATTCAATGCGTTTTCTTTATTTTCATGACTATTTACATTGTAGATTCTCACTGAAGGCATCAAAACTATGAATGAACACATGTGGAGTTATGTACTTAACAAAAAAAGGTGAAATAACTGAAAACATGTTTTATATTCTAGTTTCTTCAAAATAGCCACCCTTTGCTCTGATTACTGCTTTGCACACTCTTGGCATTCTCTCCATGAGCTTCAAGAGGTAGTCACCTGAAATGGTTTTCCAACAGTCTTGAAGGAGTTCCCAGAGGTGTTTAGCACTTGTTGGCCCCTTTGCCTTCACTCTGCGGTCCAGCTCACCCCAAACCATCTCGATTGGGTTCAGGTCCGGTGACTGTGGAGGCCAGGTCATCTGCCGCAGCACTCCATCACTCTCCTTCTTGGTCAAATAGCCCTTACACAGCCTGGAGGTGTGTTTGGGGTCATTGTCCTGTTGAAAAATAAATGATCGTCCAACTAAACGCAAACCGGATGGGATGGCATGTCGCTGCAGGATGCTGTGGTAGCCATGCTGGTTCAGTGTGCCTTCAATTTTGAATAAATCCCCAACAGTGTCACCAGCAAAACACCCCCACACCATCACACCTCCTCCTCCATGCTTCACAGTGGGAACCAGGCATGTGGAATCCATCCGTTCACCTTTTCTGCGTCTCACAAAGACACGGCGGTTGGAACCAAAGATCTCAAATTTGGACTCATCAGACCAAAGCACAGATTTCCACTGGTCTAATGTCCATTCCTTGTGTTTCTTGGCCCAAACAAATCTCTTCTGCTTGTTGCCTCTCCTTAGCAGTGGTTTCCTAGCAGCTATTTGACCATGAAGGCCTGATTGGCGCAGTCTCCTCTTAACAGTTGTTCTAGAGATGGGTCTGCTGCTAGAACTCTGTGTGGCATTCATCTGGTCTCTGATCTGAGCTGCTGTTAACTTGCGATTTCTGAGGCTGGTGACTCGGATGAACTTATCCTCAGAAGCAGAGGTGACTCTTGGTCTTCCTTTCCTGGGTCGGTCCTCATGTGTGCCAGTTTCGTTGTAGCGCTTGATGGTTTTTGCGACTCCACTTGGGGACACATTTAAAGTTTTTGCAATTTTCCGGACTGACTGACCTTCATTTCTTAAAGTAATGATGGCCACTCGTTTTTCTTTAGTTAGCTGATTGGTTCTTGCCATAATATGAATTTTAACAGTTGTCCAATAGGGCTGTCGGCTGTGTATTAACCTGACTTCTGCACAACACAACTGATGGTCCCAACCCCATTGATAAAGCAAGAAATTCCACTAATTAACCCTGATAAGGCACACCTGTGAAGTGGAAACCATTTCAGGTGACTACCTCTTGAAGCTCATGGAGAGAATGCCAAGAGTGTGCAAAGCAGTAATCAGAGCAAAGGGTGGCTATTTTGAAGAAACTAGAATATAAAACATGTTTTCAGTTATTTCACCTTTTTTTGTTAAGTACATAACTCCACATGTGTTCAATCATAGTTTTGATGCCTTCAGTGAGAATCTACAATGTAAATAGTCATGAAAATAAAGAAAACGCATTGAATGAGAAGGTGTGTCCAAACTTTTGGCCTGTACTGTATGTTTTATTGTTTATATGAAATTTATGACAATTATGAGTCATCAGTCTAAATGTGTTTTAAATCCACCCTCAATCTTTTATTTCACTGACACTAAAAGCAGACCTTAATATGTTCAGCTTCACATTAACATCAGTCTCTCCTGTCTGTGTGCTGTTTTTAGCTGCTAACATGCTAACACCATGTTTCCCACTGCAGCAAAACCTGAAGAGCCTTCAGAGTCTGGACCTGTTCAACTGTGAGATAACATCTCTGGAGGACTACAGGGAGAGTGTGTTTGAGCTGCTGCCTCAGGTCACCTACCTGGACGGTTTCGACCAGGAGGACAATGAGGCGCCTGACTCCGAGGCTGAAGACGAAGGTGGGACACCCTGTGTGTGTGTGTGTGTGTGTGTGTGTGTGTGTGTGTGTGTGTGTTCAGTGGTGAGACCAGTATAACTGGTAGGGGTGGGGGAAAATATTGATACAGTATAGTATCGTGATTTTGTCTGGCAATATTGAGGGTTTTTTTTAAGCATATAAATTATTAATATTGCAAATTCAAAGCCTACTGGAATAATAAAATCAGTAGATACAATTTGGTGCTATAAAAATGCTGGAAGTGAGATGAACAGAATGAAAACATATCACGATACTCAGCGTATCACACAATAAGTAAAATTGCAGTAATACTGTATTGTGTCTTAAGTATTGAGATAATGTTGTATCACTGGACCTTTGGTGATGCCTACCACTAATAACCAGTACTCTCCTGTTCTCTGTCTGAATGTGGTCTCTGTATTTACAGATGAGGACGGCGAGGACGGGGCAGGGCCCACTGGAGAGTACGACGAGGAAGACGATGAAGAGGAGGACGAGGACGGCTCAGAGGGAGGAGAGGTGGGACTGAGCTTTCAGGTGAACCGGGCCGATCAGGTGGGCAACTCAGGCTTCAGCCTACAGGTCGATCCATAGCTGGCTCAGACACAGGTCTGTTCCCATGATGCACCTGTCCAGACCAGGCAGAGAACACCAAAACAATCGCAGTCGCACTTTACTTCCTGTTTCACTGATTGTGCTTCAGGTTTAATAATACAGAAATGAGCTCAGAGTGAACGACACTTAAAAACAAAGTGTCCTGAGAGGCAGCTTTGAGCTGATGATGTGGTTCTGCCGCTGAATGTTTGTTGCTAAAATTTAAAAGAAAATTTGAAGCTCTGACAGACGTGGCCGTGGACGTGGAAGAGTCTGGTAAATAATTCCACTAACACAAACGAAATGAGCAGATGACAATGCTGCGGGCAAAACAACTGTGTAATGCACGTGCAAGCGTGAACCACTTGTTTTCATTTGGATGATGTGCTGCAAAGATCATAGAGCGCTATGTGTAGGGCTCAGGGTTGCCAGGTCCGCTTATTAGCCACGACTTTGGGCTTGTTTCTGAAGTGGAGTTGCTTATTTGGGCTTGCTCTCTAAATGTCGCCTTTCTCTAAATTAGATGGATACATCTAATAAGTTATTTAAATGCATGATAGTATGTCGGACTGCAGAATGTTTCCACAGCTCCGCTCCCTCCGCCCCTCTCCTTCTCCGCATACACACAGGTGACAGTCAGTCAGTGAGACTTTTCACATTTAAATTGCGCGATTAATGGAGGTTCTTTAATTATTTCACTAACAAGTGGGCGAAATATGGAAAGAATACACACAAGATTTGTAGAAAGAGAGAGGATTAAAAGATTCGACTTCAAGAGGGGGACGATTCAAAGGCAGTGTGCAGATCCAGATTCTGTGTGAAATATGAACTCATCATTCAGATCTTGTTCAGCATACCAGCACTGTTACAGTGAAAGTAAAATCATTCAGATCTTGTTCAGCATACCAGCACTGTTACAGTGAAAGTAAAATGGCTCATTATATGCAGCTTCTTTACTTTCAGTTTTCATTCATTCATTTATTCTTTCCACGTTTTTGGTCGGCTAGTTGGTTTGGTAGAGTTCAAAGGTAGTAAATATAATGTATTTGTAAAGTAATTTTTAAACGGTTGCTTATGAAATGCTGATAAGTCCATGCATATACTACATCCTATATATAGACAGATTAACTAATACAGTGGCCTCTGACTATTTTTAAGGTTGTCATTTTCATGCCAAACAACGCAAACATTCCATAAACATTCCGCGTTTTATATCAATTCCAGAGTGAGCAAGGACCTTGTAGCTGTTATAAACAAAGAAATTGTGGAAAGAGGTAGGTTGAACTGCACTCTGTTTTGGTAGTTTTGCTGAAACATTCAACTTTGTTCTTTTTTTATCATACAGTCCAGATGTAAAAACTATTATCCAGCACTTAAGGGCACTTGCCCCAGGATATTCAGATGTCTTAGTTTGAAACTCACATGTTATTTGTAGTAGGCCAGTCTACCCGCTTTGTTCAATGTAAAGAGCATGAAGAAATGTATAAAGATTTGGACCTCTAGCAAGATCATGATGGCTTAATGGATTTGTTCTGTTTTGGAATACACAATATTCTTCCAAATTAGTGTTTGTGTATTTCAATATTCAGAATTTCGCTTTGACAAGCTCTCTCTTTTTTGACCATATACCTGTTTGCATCCCTGGATATACAACTAATGAAACAGCCAATACTTTTTGAGGGAAACATGAATTAATATTTCTATTAAAATAATGTTGCTAATAGGGGTGTAAATCACCAGTTTCATCACAATATGATATTATTTCCATTCGTTGGACAATGACAAGATATTAGCCGATATTGTGAAGTCTGCAACATTACAATTTTGATTCGATGTGATTCAGGGGCCTGCAACTGATATGAGACTTTATTATATGCCCATTTAACACAGTCTGTTACAGAAGAAGCTGCCACCCTTTTCTTTTTCACTTTTGGCCATAAAAGATAAAAACAACACATAAATAAGTGCAGTGAAGTTTACTTTAAACTGACTCCACTAAGTATCAAATTCAGCTCAGTAATAACTGTCACAATTCACAGACAAAACAACTGTTTTTTTTTGCTAGTGACCCATGATTAGCTTTAGCATGTTTACATTGCATAAATTTGTGACTGTTTTTCCTCTTCTCATAGCTTAACAAATTACATGTACTGTTATTATTTTTCTCACTTACTGTTGGTTTAAGTCTCTGTATCTCCTGACAGAACAGCTTGGTTGAGTTTCAGCCCGCATGCACGTTTAGCTCAGCATTGTTGAAACAACAGCTAATGTTGCTTTAGTGAGAAGTTAGTGGAGTGAGATGTCCGGCCATGCGGGTAACGTTACGTCGTGTTTTATCTCCTAATGACATTGTTCACATACAGCATGTGCTCTGTCTGTTGACCTGTAATTTCTCCGATATCCAAATTATTTCCACACTGCTGATTTATTCTTGAGTTAAATAACGTTATCCTCATCCTCTTTCTCTTGGCTGCTTGTTGTCTGCCTGCTGCTGTTTGATGGTGACACAGACTTTCAAAATAAAAGTGTAACCTAAAGATGATGACGTGGGTCGATGTTTTTACTTTGCATCGATGATACTGGATTTTTGATCATTGAATCGATATATCACTCCAGATCGTTACACCCCAGTTGCTAATTAACACACCTGGCAAGTCACAAAAATGTTGAAACTAAATTAATCGTCAAAATGTTCACTGACAATGTATTTCAGTTGTTTTACGCCAAAATATACAAACTTGCAATACACTATCCAGTCGTAGTGATCGCAACACCTTCTTATTAACAGTAACAGTTACACTCAACCAAAGTGCTTCGGAGCTACTAACATATTGATGGATGCTGAAGTACGCGTACATTTTCTTCTGCCAACAGTTTACACACAAATTCGTTCTGCTCACGTTTCATGAATCAGACCCACTGAGTGTACACAATAAATTTTGTGACATTTGAACTATTTCAGAGACACTGATTATATCAGCATTAATTGTTGCATTTGCACTAAATCTGTCTCGATAGAACTGGATGTCATTCCAGGGTTTGGAATTTGATTTAAAATGTTAGTGAGATCCTACGTCGGACTGAAGCTGCAAACACAAGAAATATGAAATATTAAAAATATAAGACATCTGTTTGACTCTGTTCATCGCACTGAATCCAAAAACAAAAGACTCAATTCTAAGTTCCATAATTTATAAAACTGCACGACTGAATGGGCTCGACTTTCTTCTATGATTTAAACCGTTTGAACATAGGACATTAAGACATGAAACACAAGGTGAAGTTTGATGAGATAAATTTGAAATTAAGTTTGGTTCTCTGCCTGATCTGAACTGAGCTGCTCTGATGGATCGACCTCAGCTGTGACTTCAGGTGTGACCGTGTTCTTGACCAGGTTAAGCACCAAAATGGCCGCCTCTGAGGACAAATGTTGGTAAACATGAAGGACACTGTTGTCTCCTAAAAAAACTTTTTTGGGGGGGGGGGGCATTATGTTTCTCTAAACACAACAATCACACCTGAATATAAGAAAAATATTTTTTTCCTAAATTATATAATAAAATTTGATTTTGTATTTTTAGAATTATTTTGAAGACAAATGTGATTTCCAGACAATACAAGAAATTTGTCTTGTATAGTTCATCTTTATAAAAATGATATTTGGTTCTGTTTATATTATGTATATGTTTTGAGGTTTTTTTGCAAAAGGGAAAACATTTTAATCACAAATTCTTGAATGATTTTATAATTTCTAATGTTTTATTTACAGCCAAAAAATGACGATAACAAACAGCATAAATCTGTGTGATTTTCTAAATTGACATTGTACACTTATATCAGTATATTTAAGAACCACAGCCTAACAGAGTCGGTCTGATGGAGGTCAGCCTGGTCACATGACATAGACGTGATGAACAGATTTAGAGCTTTGTTAGTTTCATCCAATCAGAAACAAGCTGCTTCTGTTTTAGACCCTTTTCGGGCTGATGTCATGATGGCGTCACTTTATTAGCTGGAGGTAAACCTGCCTCTCCACCACAGTGCTGTAGGCTACATAGAAAAATAAAAAAAAAATAAATAAAATGTGGTCTTGTTGTGTTATTGGGAGCCAGAATAGAAGGAGTCATGGTTCAAAACCAGCCGCCACTGGCCGTCAACAAAAACAAAGACAACTATGGTGTGTGATAACACAAAAGGACTGGATGGAGGTCATCATCAAAAATGGTAACGTGTGCAGCGCACACTTCATATCAGGTTAGGGAGAAAGTATTTCTTGTTGCAGGGATAATAACCATATGTGTATTAAGGGCAGGGGTCGCGTTAACCGGATATTCTCAGTCATTGACCGGTTTTTTATAACAATGACTGGAAAATCTGAAGGCCGTCGGTCATTTGACCTGTTGCAATTACCACCCCTGCCCACTTGGCGACGGAGTGCACAGTCAGTGGTTTAAGTGTCTGCCGTTTTCACACTGCAGAGAAAAAGTCATTCATCTGCTTCATGTAGCGTTGTTTACATAACGGCTTGGACACACCAGTTGCGTTAGTGCCTCAGATGTCCTGCTAGTATACTCGCAGGCGCTTGACTGTCCACACAGGCAACGCATTTCTCCTGCGCTCTCCGCGCCAGTTAAACATCGACTCCACTCGTCTGTTCCCGTCAGTACTCGTTTTTTCACTTCAACAGGTCATTTTAAACATGGGTAAGGCCATATTTTCATCGTTTTTTATAACGTAATAAGTTAATGACAATTTGTCATTGCATGTCCATGTATTGAGTGTGTTGGATTAACACTGAATGAATTGGGCATATTGTTCTGACCATTTTATTTATGTAGTCTGAAGGCTCGGTGACACAAAATTAAAATTGTAATAAAGTGATTAGGGTATTGAAAAATGTGTTCGATTATGCACTGTTGTGTTATTTTAAATTATAAACATGGTATTCCCTCACGTTCCTCAGTGCATGCTGTTGGTATTTTATTTTGAAAATTGGCTGGATTCTCTTGTCTATTCTGTGTCTGTGACTTCCTGTTTGGTAATATTACAATCCGCTCTATCCAGCTTGACAGAAGCGCTCGCGGCTCGCGTGTAGACCAGACGCCGAACTGAAGCACAGCGGTGTGTTGATGTCTGTTCATCTTTTCGTTCATGCCCTTATTAATGTACACTTTATAACTTGCTTGTTGGATTTATTAAAAACAAACGAATGAAAACGAAACGTCTTTGAATATCTTTATCATTTAAAAACGAAAATTAAAATGACTGGTAAAAATAGATTATGACCGGATTTTTACAACCTTGTCGGTCAAAATGACCTTCTCCTTTGTAAGATTGGAATAGTAATCAACCACAAGCTTCCTGTGACATTATCTATCCACGAGTGAGAGCATATGGGTCGGCCAGTCTGGTCCCATCGGTCAGTGTTATTTATTCAAGTCATACTTACGGTCCCAGAGAGTAAGTGACCTGACATGGTGCGTTGGTAAATTCAATCTGATGCTCTACACTAAAATGAGAGCCCTGTTGGACCAAGAAAACAGATTTCTACATGAATTAACACACGGTTAAGTTAACCACACATTCACTCTGCTCGGAGCTCTGCTGCTCTGTCTCCGCTAACGCAGTGCGCTCTGCCACTCCAAGAGTGCGGTGCTCTGGATAACCGAACGGTACATTCAGAGAACACTCTGAATTTATGAATGGTCAGTTTGTGCCAGAGTGTGCTCCAACACTCAGAATGAGTATTTCTGAATGTACCACTCACTCTTCCTCCATTGTCTAAAACAAGTCAACAGAACTTGCTAGCTAGCGTTAGCTAATGTCTGTGGAGAATTGTTTTGCCTCCAGCTAAGTCCCGCCCACCCAAAAACATCTTACTATGTACTCACAGTAAAAGGGTCTGTGTCTTTTATTGTGGAAGTTGTGACTCACTGAAGCTTCTTCTGTCACTGCATCCTGTCAGGACGAGGAAGACGATGAGGATGACTATGCAGAGGAGGAGGAGGAAGGTGAGTAAAGCATTAGTATGCACTTAAATAAGTCAGAATCCCGTCGCTCTCTTCTGATAGGTCAGTTTTCTCTCTCACTGTACAGAGGACCAGGCGGGCGTTCAGGGACAGAAGAGGAAGAGAGACGCGGACGACGAAGGCGAGGATGATGACGACGATGAAGACGACTAGTCCTCCAGCTGATGTGTCGTCTGTGTGTCGTCCCGTCCTGTTTCTGTCCGTCTCAGTCCACCTCTGGACGTGTCCTTCGCCACACAAAAAACAACAAACAAACAAACAACAACCGGCAACAGAGACAGCGGCAACAGGAACTGTGTGATCTGCGATAGTTTGTTTCAGTTTGTAATAGAATCTCACTTCTTTATTTTTAGATAATATATAAGAAGATTTTATCAGAACTTCACCTGTTGATACCCGATTGAAGAGTCCACGTGTTTCCCTTTAAACCTGGTTCAGCGTCACAGTCTGTCCCCTGTCCACATCCTGAACTCTGACTCATCTAAACGCCTCACTGGATGACTGAAGTCTGGCAGCAAACCTACCGGCCAAAAACAAATCTACAAGTCCCGCCCTGCTGCGAACAGACTTCCTGTTAGCAGAGATGTTTGAGAAAAGGTGTGACTACAGAATGATGTCACTTCCTCTCCTCTGTCAGGCTAGATTTGGGTGTTGCGTCTCGGTGGTCGGCTTGGCTATAGCTCCTGCTTGTATCAAGAAGCCGTCGGGTGTGTTTTCTACTTCAGGGACCGGATGCTCACTCTGGGAAAAACAAAACTTGTGTCCAACATCAGGTGGTGGAATAAAGAGCCTCCTGACGAAGCTTCCTGCTGTAGTCCAGTTCAGACTGCAAGACCTCTGAGATGTTGCTGGTCTAATACACAATCACATCACACAGCTGGTTTTAAAGCCTACATGCTCCAGTTTCTGATTAATCAGGGAAAAGCACGGCTGCTGCAAACGTGTTACCATAGTTACTAAATGATCTCGGGTAAATACAGGCTAAACATCACTGATACAGATCAGGAGATCCAGACTGAACCAGACTGAGACGTAGTTTCTCTTACTCCTTTTCTGCCAACATGGAACGGGTTCCATTCGGGTTCCTGCACCTAATTTTGAACCATTCAGAGCATTTTGACCAAAAATAAATTCACTCAGAAACTGAAAAGTTGGTTCTCAACTGACACACACAAAAAAAATTAGCAGGTTGTTGTTTACCTGAGGTACCAACCATGATGTCATCAGTGGGTGTGTCATATTCTAGAGGTTGGAAGGAGAGGATGGAGAAGGCAACAATATCATGGAAAAAACGACATGCAGTAGTCTCAGTAATAGTTGGCTTGTTTTTGGATAAAATAAGCATAAATTGTAATAACAGAACAAAAGTTTGCAGGTAATCAATGTGATCCGTCATCTTGCCAATACTGTTTAATTCTCTTTTGCAATTCACAGCAACTTTCATTGGTGACGCATCTTTGATTACAATGGTTCAGATCAAAACTGGTTCCAAGAATCCTAACGTAACCGGTACCAGAACGACAGGGAATTTGTCGGAAAAGCCGTATCTGTCTGGTTGTTTAAGAGTTTGATTGGCAGCTTTCACACAAGGCTGAAAGAACTGAACCGGATAGGTTCCTGAAATCACGTGAAAACCTGTCATCAAAATGTAACACCCATGCCGCCCATGATCTCGTCCCACTGGCTATCCTGTTTATACAGACTGTTTCTGTGCTGTTACTACCTCCACTGCCAGCTTTGAGGTGAGACAACTCTTGTTCCCCCATTCCACGATTGTACTTTTTACACAGCCGGGTGAGGCGGGATAGCGGCGTGAAATTCCTGCATCATAGAGGCTGTGTAAAAGGTGCTTACAACACTTGTAGGTGTATATGCCGTGCCATCCGGGCCCTATTTCAGAAAGTAGAATTAGTGATAACTCTGAGAATGTTAAGCCTGAGATGAGGGAAACTCTGAGTTTTCTGTTTCACAAAGCCAGTTCAGCAAAACCCTGAGTCAGTTATGGCAACATACTCCGTGAAGCAAACCTGCTGGCTCGCAGGTTTGCTTCATCTAAGCCTGAGGCTGATCACCCACTGAGTGTGTAGCAGGAAGTAGAAACACGGCGTGTCCCTGTGAATAAAGTTGTGGACGTTGAGGCAGTTTATTCAGAGGCTGTTGCGTAAGGAGATGGTCATTAGACCCCGTTTGGATGTCTCTCTGTGAAGTGTCTGTATGAAAGACACAATTTCACCTCACAGTCTATCATTTATCTAACAATCTGTTCCACCCAGATATATCAAATTACACATCGCGGATTTGCATTATCATCGGAGCAAATTTTATGCTTTGCCCTTCATCATGGGGCATCAGTGGCTCCGTGGATGTAGCGGGGCACCATGATCCCACGCCCAGCCCCTGATGCAGCAGCTCCGGATTCAAGTCCAGCCTGCAGATTTTTGCTGTGTGTCGTTCCGTCTCTCTCCCCTAAACGTTATGCTGTTTTGCCATTACAGGCAAAAAAAAAAAATCATTAAAAAAAAGGTGGAATTCTACAGAACTGCAGGTTTGTCAGTGTTAATAAGAAATTCATCCACGTGGACACATTATGCAATGATTCATGAACACTATTCATATATTCAAAGATTCTGCCGTGTAATTGGCTCATTTATGGGACTCACATCCCATCATAGCTCCATCTGAAAATAAAGGAGATTACATGAAGACGTCATTTCTCAGCAATTCAGTTAACCTCAGCCTAATATTGATATCTTTGTGCTTGATTTTGAGTTGCTGCCCAGTGTGTTTGGGCCCCATCATCACTGAGAATCATGTTATCTGTACTCCATTAATGATGTCTGTTGGTGTTCACTGTGAATGCGCTTCCCTCAGGCTGAACATACTCAGAGTTGATTAAGGTAATTCTGCTCAACTGTTCTGGAACCGAAAACTCAAAGTTTGCCAGCTCAGGCTCAGTCAACTCGGAGATTGGGATCAGGCTCAGAGTTTGTTGAGCCTGCTTTCTGAAATAGGGCCCAGCTCAGGAAAAATTGAATCCCTGGTACCTACAGTACTGGAGAAAAACAAACACAACAGGTTTGGCTTTGACTTGGTACCGAAGACAGCCCTGATTTGATCTAGTTTAGGAGTTGTCTTGTAAACTGGTTCTGAGATCAGTTGTGTAGTTTGGGTTTATCACCATGACACTAATCTGGGATTGAAAACTCAGAGCTCTTGAAGGTCTTGTACTCTGCTCTGGACTTAATTTGATTTGTACAAGCTGGACCTGCTGTCCTGAAACGTCTCCCACCAAAGTCTTGATTCATCGCGAATGTCTCAACGAGGAGTTTTATCTGCAGGTGAAACATAAACCTCTGAACACAGAAATGATTCTGCACAAACAGGAAGTGAAGAGCCAGCTTGTTTCATATCATCTGTCTGTCTTCTTGGGCTTCAAACTGGACAGCCAGACCACATCCGATCTGATCTTTGAAAATCATCCTTCAGGTTTTTGCAGAGGACCAGAACCCGGTTCTTCCTGCAGCCATATCTGATTCTGGACTCTAACAGGAGAGGAGAGCGCCCCTTCAGGATATCAGTGTGTCTAACACCCAATCAGGGACATCACATGTTTCAGGATCTTCATCGACCATCGTGTTTTAACCCTTTAGTCCCTGAACTCAATAGCGATCACATTGACTCTGCTGTCTCTGCCCCGTTAGAAACATGCAGACCTGCTGTAGCTCAGGTCCACATAGGAGATGATGTTCCCAGTGTGTATTTGATTTATTGTAGGGATTTTCCAGGGAAGATTAGGGGGTGGGTGGGAGGAAATATTTGTTCTGATGTGTTTGGTTTTTTTTGTTTTGTTTCGTCTCTGAACAGCAGCTACTGTTGTTTTTTAGTTTGGCTTGTCCTCAAACTGCCCGTCCTCTCGTGATGTTCAGACCACCGCAATGTCTCACTTTAGGCCCCGCCTCCTGAAAATAGCCCCGAACCTCACTGCAGCTCCTCCTCAGAGGAAACGCTTAATTTTCACATAGACCAAAACCTGCGGTGCGTTCAGGTACTTCTTGAGTCAGAAAACTTACCTGCAGGTGGAAATTAAATTTTCCGGAATTCAAAGCAGCTAAAGTAAAACTGAGAAAGAAGACACTTAACTCTTAATAAAGTCGTCTGAGTGGCGCCAATCAGACCTTTATACAATCATGTTACACCCTATTGGTCATGTGACCCACTTAAACCCAACTTAAATTGTAACTGAACAAACTGTCAGAGATCACCTGAACGCACCGTTGAAGTGGATTATGGGATACTGAGGGCTCATTGACCCATTACGATGGAGGTGGAGCCTGAAACGGACACACCTGTTGCGTCTGATTCAGGTGTCACTGCTCTGCGTTGAATTCTGAAGCCATGCAGGCAGCAACTTTTTACGCTCTACTTTCTCTGTGTCTGTTTCAAACAGGACCAAACCTGAGCTGACAGGAAGTAATTGGTAATCACATAAATTGTTTATTGAAAATATGATTATCATACAGAAAAAAAGTAGTGTCCTTAAAAGTATATTTCTGCATTTCATTCGTTTATCTCCTGATGAGTGAGTTTTTCTTGTCCTGATGATGCAGAACTTTGAACTAAACTGCTTTTGAGTTTTAGCTTTTTTCTCGTTTACACTCTTAAAAACCGACGCACCACTTTTCAGAGCTTTCATGTGTCCAGTACTTAGGTGGAGAGTTTGTCCTGTGCAACTCTGTGAGGAGAACAATCATGGGAATTAAAGACAGGAGGTTTTTGCCCTGCTTTTACGTTGTTGAACGACTGAAGAAGTCTACAGACTCACTTGTGTGATGGTTTAAATACAGTGAAGTGAGGATGTTACACGTTATACATTAAATCACCTTTAACAGCAGAATTTAGCTGACACGTCCATGTTTGTTTTGTGTCCAGGCAGTTTCGTATCAGTCCGATATTTATCAGAGCTTTTGTAATTAAAACTTGGATGTCATCATGGATGCTTTTAGGTGTGTCGCAATATACCAGATAATCATGATATTTAAAAATGACTGTTAATGTTAATAATACAGATATGATAATATCATGTAAATTGACACTTCTAAAATCATTTTTGTTTATTTCAGTCTGACTATGACTTAGCCTCTGGGTCAACGGCAAGCCCCCAGGTGGGCTTTGCTTTGAAGCCGATCTCTGTAGTGGCCAAACAGTGCAATTACAACAGCCGGGTCCGTCACGTGATGCCACACGGGACTTTTCCCCGCAGACTTACATTGGTAAAGAGATGTCTGTAAATCAGTGGATACTTTTTTTTTTTTTTGTTAACGTGACAACCCTCAACCCTTCAAACTTCACACTTTTTGAGGCCTAAAACGTTTAATGAAGACATCACCACATTGCAGCGTCCTGCAGAAGACACAGGGCTGCTGTTAAGTGTTGTGTTGTTGTTTTTAAGAGTATAAAAGGTCAAAGGTCGCGTCTCAGACCTGCTGAGGTCAGTTTTAACTGGTTTTTAAGGCAATACTGTAAATAGACTCTCAGCTCAGTTTCAGGTTTGTTTTTATTTTTTAATGACTTAAAATAATTTTACAGATGTTTTGTTTTTCTGCAGCGAGGTGATAGTTGACCTCCAACTTTGACCTTTGACCCTGGCTCACTCCTCTGTCAGCTGATACTATCCTCTATCATCGTCCTGTCTGTGGGGAAAACTGTGTTTGACTTTTAGTGTGCTGTAACAAAAACATATTGAAGGGTTTTGAATAAAAAATTAAAAGGAAAACAAAGTTGTGTTTTGGAGAGAACTTTGATGATATGTGTTCATACCCAAATGTTTCTCTTTGGATTAAATGCTGCAGATTTTACATTGGCAGACAGGATTTAAACTGAACTGTTATTTTCCAGGAGTTACTGAGAGTCCACCCACAGAATTAAATCAAAATAAACTGCAAATTAAACCTGCAGTGCTTCCTAGAGACCTGAGGGAGGAGCTGTCAGTGGGCACCTGGAGAACCTGATAAGGTTTGGCCCCGAAAACTATCACCATGTGAGCCTGTGAGGCGAGGAGCAGGGCTTGAGTCCACAGTATCTGCAGCCTGATCACCTCAGCACGTGAGTCCATCCTGAAATCTGAGTCAGATCCAGCTGGAGTGTGATATTAAACAGGCCCAGCCAACACTTTTCTGTTGAAAAGGCATTTAAAAAAATTACTATAGTCACCTATGTTAAGTTCAGACCTGGTTCAGTTAAACTTCTGTCACTGGGTATTTTTAGACGTCAACTGAAAGTGTTCATTTAGACCATATTCTACCGGGACTTACAATAGTGAGGTTTTTCATCCTCCCAGTGAGCATCAACTGGGATTTTAATGTTGAATTCCAGTTGAAAACAGTGATTTTTGGTCTGAACGTCCAAGACCTCTTTTCAGCCAGCTAAAATATAGTTTCAGCATTGTGTCAAATTTACAAAGAAGCTTTCAGGACATTTTCAGTCTCTGTACAGTCATTCATTCATGTCAAATAACATGCGCTTACTTCTGTAATGTGCATACGCAAGTACTGAGATCGGCTTCAAAGCCCAGCGGTGTTGCTGGGGGCCTGCTGTTGACCCAGAGGCTAAATCATCGTCAGACTGATAGCCAAGCCATTTATTTTTTTGTCTTGTAAAAAGCATCCAGGGCTAGCATATCATATTTGCACTACACCAGAAGAGCTCACGTCACAATTACGACATTATTGCGATATCTATATAAAATTTGAAAAAAGACAAAGCTTTCAGTCATGTTGATCTTTAACTTTATCGTGCCTTTTGTTTTTTGGCAAATGAATGACTTTAAGTGTCAGGAGGTGAAAAGAGTCTGTAACTGTACAAAAAGAGTAATTACCTAACTAAAACATGAAAAGTTAGTGTTACAGCAGACAAAATAAATGGCAAGTCTTCACACTCATGGGTGCAGATCCCGGGGGGGAATTTCTGAAAAACACAAATTGTCCCCCCAATTCTAAATAGCCTAAATGATTGAAATTGAACAAATGTATACAGTAGTCCCATATACTGGGAGAAAGGGAAGATGAGGAGAATTGGGAATCTGTGAGAGGCGAGAGATGAGAGCGTGAGTGGGCATAACATGCCTGAGACCCTGAAACAAGAAGTAGCATTAACTAACAGCGAAGCAGTGAAAAGGAGGGTGTTGGCTGGCTCTTTGTACTATTGGCTGTTTAATAGAAATAAACAGTAAAGGTAAGCATATGATTCTCTGTGTAGTGCTTTTTGAATGACTTGGTAATTGTGATGAGCCTCTATGAAATCGTGAAATATGCTGGCAATCTCAAGTGCTCTGTGGGCATGATTTGCACATGTGCAATTATCTGTCATCAGCTCTGCACCCATGTTCACACTACCTTCATACTCAGTAAGTACCTGTGCTGCTGTATTTCAATAAAGCAAATCAGAAATCAGCACCATTAGTTTTATTTTATGCCACTCAGGATGCAGCCTACAAACAGTGGAGGGTCAAAACATTTGGCTAACAGCAACAAACAATGAATGGTAATGGTACTGTGTAATAAATGCTTTACCCTTAGTCAAGTATTACATACTGCAATTATAGAAATTACAGTTATTTTCAAAGATATACAGTATCTCACATAAGTGAGTACACCCCTCCCATTTCTGCAAATATTTCATTATATCTTTTCATGGGACAATACTACTACTATACTATACTTGTATAGTAGTATAGATTTACCTTCCTCTGAAAATTACTCAAAACACAGCCATCAACATTTAAACAGCTGGCAACATAAGTGAGTACACCCCACAGTGAACATGTCCAAATTGTGCCTAAAGTGTCAATATTTTGTGTGCCAACCATTATTATCTAGCACTGCCTTAACCCTTTTGGGCATGGAATTCACCAGAGCTCACAGGTTGCTTCAGGAATCCTCTCCCACTCCTCCATGATGACATCATGGAGCAGATGGATGTGAAGACACCTTGCACTACCCCACCTTCAGCTTGAGGATGCCCCACAGGTGCACAGGTGAGTTTAGGGCTGGATACATACTTGGCCAGTCCATCACCTTCACCTTCATCTTCCTCAGCAAGGCAGTTGTCATCTACTAGGTGTGTTTTGGGTCATTATCATGTTGGAAAACTGCATTGCAGCTCAGTTTCCGAAGAGGGGCGATCATGCTCTGCTCTGAATTCATGTTTCCCTAAATGAACCGAGCTCCCCAGAGCCGGCAGCACTCATGCAGCCCCAAACCATGATGCTGCCACCACTATACTTGACTGTAGGCATGGGACAGTTGTCTTGGTGCTCTTCACCAAGGTGCCACACATGCTGAAAGAGCACCAAGACAACTGTCCCTTGTCTCCAACATAATGACCCAAAACACACCTAGTAGATGACAACTGCCTTGCTGAGGAAGATGAAGGTAAAGGTGATGGACTGGCCAAATATGTATCCAGCCCTAAACTCACCTGTGCACCTGTGGGCCATCCTCAAGCTGTAGGTGGGGTAGTGCAAGGTGTCTTCACATCCATCTGCTCCATGATGTCATCATGGAGGAGTGGGAGAGGATTCCTGAAGCAACCTGTGAGCTCTGGTGAATTCCATGCCCAAAAGGGTTAAGGCAGTGCTAGATAATAATGGTTGGCACACAAAATATTGACACTTTAGGCACAATTTGGACATTTGTTCACTGTGGGGTGTACTCACTTATGTTGCCAGCTGTTTATATGTTGATGGCTGTGTTTTGAGTAATTTTCAGAGGAAGGTAAATCTATACTACTATACAAGCTGTACACTGACTACTTTAAGTTATATCAAAGTGTCATTTCTATACTGTTGTCCCATAACAAGATATAATAAAATATTTCTAAAAATGGGAAGGGTGTACTCACTTATGTGAGATACTGTATATCAGACCCTTGATGTAGCCTACATTCACCCTTGTCTCAGTGAAAATAAATTTCTTTTAAATCCTTGTTTTACTTATAGGTTTCCACCTTATCAAACTTCTTCCTCCAACCAGAGGGAGCCTGCATCAATTATGTATTTTTTCTGTTTCACTGTAATTGTATTCAAAGAGTATTTTTCCTGTTATATTTAATCTTTTGCTCAATAAATACAAATGTATTGTAGTATGTGTCACATGGTCTTTATCTTTTAAGTGGAAGCTGTAAATATGTTAGTTTGACTCAGTATGTAACTTGTATGCTGCCTTACTTGTCATCCGAAAACCAGAACCACTTGTTCAGTTAAATATTACAGTGAGCATTTGAGTATTAAAACACGTTTAAAGCAGTAATGGTGAAAAGATGTATAGAGGAGATTCAAAAGTGAAAGTTTTTTTCACCATCTATTTGACTATCAATAGCCTATCATCATTTTGGAGCCCAACTAAGTAATCACAACGGAATTTGTAAGTTTAAAGTCAATATTGCAAATCCTGGTGAAATGTGGTGTAATTGTAACCATTCAATCAACGTGTACAAATAGTCAATGAAAAACACTTTTACTTTTGAACCTTCTCTGAATATCTTTTCAACATAACAGCTTTAAATGCCTTTTAAACCTCAAAATGGTTACAGTAATTAACTGAACAAGTGGTTCTCACTCCAGGATGACAACTATAGCAGCATATAAGTTATACTTAGTCACAGTAACACTTTTACAGTTTCCACTTACAAGACAAAGGAGACTATGTGACACATGCTACAATGCATTTGTATTTATTAAGCAACAATTACAATATAACAGGAAAAATTCTCTTTGAATACAATTACAATGAAATAGAAAAATACATAATTGATGCAGCGTCCCTCTGGATGTAGGAAGAAGTTTGATGTGGGGGAAACCTGTAAATATTACAAGTATTAAAAAGAAATATTTTCTCACTGAGTTAAGGGTGAATGGCCATTGCATTTGATATGTATTTTTGAGCATAACTATCATTTCTGTAATTACAGTATGAAATAGCCCGCATCATGAGCAGCATAAAATAAAACTAATGTTGCTAATTTCTGTTTTGCTTTATTGAAATACAGTAGCACAGGTACTTACAAAGTATGTAGGTAGCGTGAAGAGTCACAGTTATTTCATCAACAAGGGAAAGACCATGTGACCGCTTGGAAAGACAGCTGACAGGAGGGAAAAGACCCCAAAGGTGCTGGCATGGGCTAGCAACCCATGGTAGCAGTAGTGAGGCCTAGCAGCCTTGCTACAACCAAATTAGCTACAGCCAACATAAGGAAAATACCCCAAGAGTCAGCGAGAGCAGGGGTGGAAGATGACTCACAGGTGGATTACATGGTAACATTGGAACGGACACGACTGTGCATTGGATCTGTGACTCAGTGAAGGATGGGGGCACGGACCTATCCACCAGGGCTAGAACTAGCAGCACTCGGGGCAAAAGTAGCACAATCGAGAACAAGATGCTCCAGGTTTGTCCTTGCAGCTGGCAGAAAGTAACATCAATTAAAGGCCTCAGAACTCATCAGGGAAAGAAGTGTGTGGCAAAGAAAGGGCAAGAAGGAATATGCAAGGACAGCTATTTCAGGGACCCTTTTAAGTTTGTTAAAGCGATTGTTTAGCCAGGAAAAGGGAGGGCAGCTTAAAGCAGAAAGGCTAGAGGTTGAAGAATATTTGAGAAATACATATTCAGATTTAGAGAAGAATAGGATAGTAGGTTTTCCACCGGATATCCAGGAGGTGTCCTCATCCCCAAGGCAAAGGAGTCTGTGGACCTTAGCCAATTCCAGATGATTTCTCTCTTGA